TTGCCTCAGAAGTCATATTTCTCAACTTTGTCACTAAAAAATAAGTGGTATAAACCCTCAGTCAGTTTATAAATGGTTAGAAATGTAGTTTGTATTTGTACAGCTTTAGTAATAGAAGTCACATTCAGGACATATGAATAATTCTATTGGAACCAAAAACAAATGGGATCAAAAATGTCCTTTGCCTTTTTCCCCTCAATATTTCTGTACATGCGCTGATTTCTATCCCCACACTTCTGCTGACACAAGTACATATTGAATTGCTTATTCAAATGAATATACAAATAATCTGTCTAGAAGGAAACAAGTATTTACTTAGTTTTGAGGTATTTTAAAGCAGTGTTTGCTTTCCTTAACCTAGATAATTTCACAGATCTGCCTTAGGGAAGGGTTAAACAGTTGTGTCTACACAACATAAGCAGGAGAGAAGTGTGGGAGCAAACAGCTGACAATGGGTGAAGGGTGATAATGATATAAACCATTTTGTTGCTGAGAAATATCTTTGATATATTTTTGAAATATCTTACATGTTTGATATAAACAAACTGTTACATTCCAAGGAAAGGGAAAATGGAAATTATTGGAGATGATGCCAGTGCTCAGTAACACCAGAATTCCATACTTATAACAACGTAAGTAGCAAACTATCATTCAGCTTGCCTGAAATTGACTGGACAGCATGGAGTAGTCAACAGATACTTTCTGCCTTTCAGTATCAGATAGTACATTATCCCTAATGTAGTGTAGATGTGAGCGGTGTTAAAAGAAACTCCTTCCCTTCTCTGCTCCTGCTTTTGGCTGCCTGTGTCCCGTATTTCCCTTGAGCCAGATCCAATGACAGAAATTTAGCTTACCACTAAAAGAATAAACCCAAAGCAAACAAAAATTAGTTTTCCATTAGATTAGGTTGCTAAAGTGACTCATCCTGCAGCTGTGGATTAGTTACATCTCATGCACGGAAATGAAACAGCAGCTGGGGCTGGGGAAGAGACCACCCTGCTCAGTGACAGCTCACAGTTTCTCCAAACATGCTGTCATGTTCTGGAAGACACAATCTCACCCTCAGCCCACTTCCCTCCCTTCCTGTCAGCATGAACATCTGTGTGGAGCTAAAGAGCTGACCTGTGGTATTTCTAGTCTGGATCAAGTTTACCGAACTGATGCAAACTCATGCCTTGCTGTAAGAGAAAGGATAGTGCAGAGCAGGGTTTAACAGCCAGAATGAAAGTGAGGCTGTTCTTCACAACAGGGTTGCTTGTTTAAAGTTTTTTAAAGTACATGTAAAGCTCTGGATTTAGGATATAACTGTAAAGCGTCTTCATCTAATCTAAAACACCACTTCAGCATTCATGTTGCACCTTCCCTTATACCTGGGACAGTCTTCCTGTGAGATGATGGCAACCAAGTTCAGAGAAGTAATTTGTTTTAAAAGAATCTATTCTAAAAATGGCTTTTTGACTACATGACTTTTCAAATTACCTCATTGCTTCATCAGGTGACTAACAAGGGAAAGAATAGGAACTCTGACTGTGGTAGTCCTCATTTTAAATCTGTTCAGGCAGCCAGCAAATTTAAATGTATCTACCGTGGGTTGATGCAAGTAAGAAAAAACACTTCTCTGGAGCTTCTCTGGTGTCCCAAGCACAAACAGCCACATGATTTTAGTATTTTTATTTTGGAAAGAAAAAACAATTTGACTAGTTCTTTCCTGTTTAGTGTCTCTCTTTTATGACACTTAGAATTCTAGCCCTACATTGCAAATAAGTGATAATAAACCTGGCACTATATTAATCTGCCATTTCCAAGTCTTAACAAAGTGGAAGAAATCAGTGATCAGAGTCCACATTAGTGGAGTAAATAATTTTTCTGGTATAATTTCTTTATGCAGCCAAACACAGTGTATAAAAATGAGTTTCCTGATAATGAATATGATCAAAAGCATGGCTCTATAATATTTGTGGCTGTGAAAAACTATTTTGCTATCACAAAAAAGAAGTGCTTTTTTTCTTAATCATTTCAATTGCTTCTGTAAATTTCTGTAGCTAATTTTGGAGGGAATATGAATTCATAAATTGGTTGTGGAAATATTCAGTTTGAGCTTTCTGCATACCATGAGGTTATAAATTCTCTTGCCTTTTCAATATGTCAGGAAGTTTCAGACCCTTTGAAGGAAAAGAGGAAAAAAAAATTCACCTTCACTCCAACCAGTTTAAGACTTTCTGTATGAGGATGACAGATCCAAAGACCATTATCTTCCAGTAGCATGATAACACAAGTCTTTTTCAAGGAACTCCTCCAAAGAATGAGTGCCAGGAATACCAAGAGTTGAGAGTTCAGACTCTGGTCGTGATGGATGTGGAAAGGATGGGGGACATTTGTTCAGAAATTCCTAGTGGCTGGGAGAAGGCAAGATGTCTTTGGTGGAGTATGTGCCCGTGGCTGTAGATGCTGCTGACAGTCCCAGGGGACTGAGGGAGGCTTCCCCTTAGCCAGCAGATCATTGTTTTGCTGTCTGTAAGCTGATGCATTTTATTGCCTTTCTTTCTCTCTTTCAAAGATTCTTTTGAGATTTTCCTGCCCTATTTGTGCAGAAGGGAGAAACAGACAATCTAGTTTGGTGAGGATGGACCATATGCATGTTTAATTTGAAGGCTGAGCCAATGTTGCAGACCAGGCTCAGGTTCAAATGCAAATCAAGGATAGGAAAGAACTTCCTATGTAAGAAAATTCCATTTACCCCTGAAACTGCAATGCAAGGCTGTTTTAATGATCCTAGACGACCCTGGCATGGATAAGTTTCTCCAGAACATATACTGTGCTCATCCAGCTGCCCTCTGACTAGTAAACTTGGGCAATTTTTTAGAATCTGGTGCTAGACAGTTTGGACATTTTTTCAGAGATAAACATTAAAAAAAAAAAAAAGAAAAAAAAAGAAAAAAAAAAGTTGTATTTAAGAAAAGCCATTTGAAATTCTTCCATTGACCAAATAGGATAAAAATTTATTTTAAATTTATTTTCTATTTTAAACAAAAAATATTGCTTTAGTGCAAAACATGCAAGAAAATATTTTCAACTAAGATTTTTTCCCTTGCTCGGAAAACTCTGATGGTAATAACATTATACCTGCATTTATACGTGTTTTTTTCCACCACGAAAATTATTACCTAAATTAAACCAAAACTGATGATTAATTTAAGATCTATGAAGCTCCATTTTTTACCCTGTAAATTCATTATTTTCTTCAGTACTCTTTACTTTCTTTAGAAAATTCATGGGGCACAGATATGTAACTCTAAAATTAGGCTGGTCTCCACCCTGTTTACTCTTGTTCCCAGCAGAAATATTTGTGTAGGCATGTGTGGGAATGTAATTTCTACCCCAGTTTCTTTCCCTAGTGATCTTGACACAGGTCTTTTTTTATGGAGTGATAAAATCAGGTTTTGTATGTACAGTTTTTAAAATAACAAAACAAAAACCCCCAAACTTCCACAATTGATTCACAATCAGTATAATGTGCAACTAAAATTAATTATTCTGATTAATCTTGTAAATTCATACACTTATCTTACTGAAACCTATAGTCTTTTGTTCTGTTCTGTTAAAATCTAAACCAAACAAAGAATGAAAATTCTCCAGTGCCTTTTTGGTGCTCTTCTAGTTACAAAAAGGAATTGCATATTAATTTTACTGTGGGATCCTGGGCATTTTCTCACCCAGCTTTCGTTGGTATTCCTGACTACAGCATCTGAAATAGAATTCATTGAAGCTATGGGAAGGAATTTTTCAGAGTTCTTCACTGCTGACCTGCCTCTGCTTTTTTACTAATTTCAGCTGAAGCAAAGAGAAATTATGTTAAGTGCTTCTGGAAATCCTTCCTTTCAGAGGAATCAGAAGAATAGCTTGAGACAGTAATGTTTTCATAAAATTGCACTCATTATTAAAAAAAAAAAAAAAGTAATTTGCAAATTCTGCTCAACATGTGGTTTTTTGACCTCCCTGAACAGAAGGATGAATAAAAACTTCAGGGTTTCTCCCTGTTTATATTACTCTTTGATCTTACAGTATTACTTTCTGGTGATATTTATCCTTTTTTTCTGCTAGCTTCCTTTGGTAAATGAATATATGTGGAGCTTCTAAAAATTGTTTCAGTGGAACTAGTAAAAAGGGGATTACACAAACTCATTCTCTCCCCCAAAAAACAATCCCCTTGAAACAGCTAATTATTTTCATGTTTGTGGGCATCCTAACACTAAGAGTCTTCTGAACTCCCACGGTTCTAGACTGTCTCAGTTTCTGACCTCCCAAGTAAAACTTTTAGTGGAAATGCAGTGTCAAAAGACTTCTTGATCTCTCTGAAAAGGCTCTTTCTTGTTATAGTTTCAAGTTCCTTAGCTGCAAATCTACTAGTTACACAACAGATAATTAGGTCCATATAAGGCTGCAAAACATCCCAGGTTTAGAAATCACCTCAAAGAGGCTAGATCTCTCTGTAAATTGGCTAGTCTGAGTAAAGGATTAAATTATGGAATATTAAAGCATATTGCTCATTATTATATGAAAAGAAAAAAAAAAAGTTCTATTGTTGATACTGTGTTTGGGGCAGTGACAGAAAGAATTCCCTTTCCCCCCCAGTTTTCTTTTCTTCTAAACCTGTAAGAACAGAATTTAAACATTCTTAAACTGACCGAAAAGAGCATTCAACAGAGCCTGTCTCTGTAGACCATCCCCTGAGTATTTGTAACCATTGATGAGACCCTTCTCCTCTCCAAGCTAAAGAGACTCAATTCTCTCACCCTTTTCTCACAGGACAGATGTTCCAGATCATTAATCACTTCTGTAGCCCTTTGTAAGACTCCCTCTGGTATCTCTGTCTCTGTCATGTTGAAAAGCCCAGATCTGAACACAGTACTCCAGGTATGGCTTCACCAGTGCTGAGCAGAGGGGCAGGATCACTTTCTATAGGCAGTTCTTTGTCTAAAGCAGCTCTGGGCATCACTTACGTTCTCTGGTGCAAGGGCAGGTTGCTGGCTCATGTTCAGCTTGGTGCACATCAGGAGCCCCAGGCCCTGCTCTGCCAAGCTGCTTTCCAGCTGGATTGCCCTGAGCGCATGTTGGTGCTCGAAGTTGTTCCTCCCCAGGAGCAGGATGTTGCACTTTGTTGAACTCCATGGTGTTCCCATCAGCCCATTTCTCCAAATATTGAGGCCAACCTTCTTTGCGTGGCTAATTCAATAATTTTGGTGTTCCTGTGAAAAGGTATTTCCTCTCCTAGTGCAATAAAAATGATAAGATTATTTTTTTGTTTCTCTTGAACCATATTCTGTTTAAAGATGGGTTGAGTTTATCGGTGTTATGTGATAATTATTGAAATTCATGTCTTTTATTTCCATGGCTCTATTAAATTACATTACTTTCCTTAACATCCTATCTTAGTAACAATCATTTTGGGAATAGTGCAGACATTTGCAGAACTAATACGGGAATTAAGTTTTCTGAAGGCCTTAGAAAAATTGTCTATTTCAAAACCTTTTATAAAACTGTGTTTGAAAATGTTTTTTCAATTTTTTTTCTGAAGTGATGTCTTAGTCTTCTAAATTCACCTTTCCAATCATGATAAAAAAGTACCAAGTGGGCTCTCTGATCTTTACTTGTAAAATATATTAAATATCTGATTATGGTTAAACAAAGAATGTTATTTATAGTTTTTACCACAGCTGGTGATACTGAAGAGAAAATTTTGTAACATCGGAATCATTAACATGTCTAGGAAAAAAAGTATATTCTTTAACCTTGCCAGTAGCCTAATAAGTTCAGTAAGTTTCTATATAATTTAAGGAAAAAGAAGTAATGAAAGTCTTTTCAGTGGTTAATAACTTTTGTTCTTCTGTCTTCTTTAGATTTAACCTGTGTCTGTTTTTCCCATGAACCTTTTTCCCAGTCACTGTCAGGTGCTTCATTTCCTGTAAAAATCCTGTCTTATGCATCCCAATGTTCAAAATGGTTCTTCAGCACATCAACACTGATATTTTTACCCTTTTTTTTTTCCTGAAATGGATGCAATTTTCTAGAGGATTTTTATTTTTGACTAAACATTTCTGTCAGCATGATTCTATACCTTAGAATTTACATGTGTGAATCTGTGTGTATAGTCCCTGAGCTACTAATATCTACTTTTCTAAATGTTAGAAAACTTAGCTTCTTCACCTAAAAAAAGAAAAAAAATCCCAAATGATATTAACCTCTAGCCCTTACCCCCTTGGAAAAAAGCCCAAAACAAACCAGCAAACAATCACACCAAAACTTGTGGAAAACCTGGGGGACATAGGTCATCTGCTATATGAGAAGAGGTAAAAAACCATTTTACACATTTCTGAATTGTTTTTCTGGATGACTTTAATAGCTTGAGACACCAGAATGTTCGGGATGGAATCATTCTGAACAGTGCCATCCAAAAATCACAGTCATTCCCACAGCCCAGGCAGTAGTCAGCTGTTCCCACAGGGTGTATTAGCAAAACCTTTCCACATCAGCAAAGCCTTTAGATCAAATTTCACTTCTTCAAAAATTATCTAACAGCATTGCTGAAAAAAAAGCTTACATAACATAAGAGTAAATTCACACTTACAGGTCTGTAATTCGAGTCTTTATGAAAGTACATAAACCCTCGATGTACAAAACCAAAAGCATGATGAAAAAATTAAAGCATTTGAAAAGAAAACATCTTTCTGTGGTTTTTCTCTATCACAGTTAGACTAACTTAGCTGCTCATACTAAATTTTGTAGTATAGTGAGAATCCAGGCCTTTGGTTGGTACAATTCTCATGAGATGAGCAAATGCTGCCTCACATGAGTGGGGATAGGATGAAGGCATTTCTGTTCCCTGAGAAAAAAAGTTCTGGAAATAGACAATTACATGCTAATTTCTGAAATGAGATGAAAGGTGGTCCTTTGCTACTTTTGTAATCTACTTTGATTGCTCAGATATCTTTTGTTCAAAGTCTGTTTCTGGTCACTACTAATTGGATGTGTTTCACTCAAAGTTTTTTTCCCACAACATAAGTTCAGTTTGCCATGATCTTTTACCCCTAAAAATTCTTTCTTATTTGCTGAAGTAAAAACTTTATTTTGGGTTCTTGAGGGTAATAATTATTGATATCATGAATCATACAAATCTAGCTGATTCATACTGTGTGAAATTATAACACAGGCTTGATACTATTATAATATTGTACTGGAGCTTTGAGATGATGAATAATCTTGCCTACTAAGTTGTTGCCATATAGATTGATCCTAAAACACAGTCTAAACAGAAAATGAAAATCAAAATATCATAGCAGTATACTGACTTCTGTATCTGGCCTTGTAATATAAATCAGGTTTTCTTATTAGAGTAACCCTGTGCAATTTGGTTGGTTCAGTATATGGTAGAGAGTAAGAAAAATGTTTATAAAGTTTATGAAGTTCACCAATTTAAAGCATTCTTCTCCCTAATATCAAAATTTTCAATTTCATTATTCCATTATAAAAACTATTCCTCTTTGAATAGTGGGACAAATGGGAGTAATAACTGACTTGACTAGCCAAATCCAGCTGCTAGTGATTAGCACTATCAAAGCAATGTTTCTTGCTCTCTGAAATACTGTGGATCCTTTACTCTTCTGGAAACACCTAATCTATCTAGCAAACACATAACAAAGCAACCATGGCTGCAATCCCCCATATAAAAGTCCTGTCTTCTTTGCACTTGGAAGCATAAATATTTTGAAGAGAATCATTGGAAAACCAACAGCTTAACGCAGAAATAAAATTACTATTTCCTCATCATCACCACTTTTTTTTTTTTTTTAAACCCAACAGACAACATGAAATTCTGCTGAGATTCTTGTAAAAATGCTTATTTATTTCCTTTTTGTTTCTCTGATACCATGTTTGAACTGTTAGGCAGGATTCTGACTTTAGCAAGTTAGATACTGGTGGACAAGACACCTTACTTCATAAAATTGTGGGCAGAGCAGTAATTTTGAATAAACTTTACAATTTAGAAAATTTACATCGACCTATGTTTTATATCACTTTCTTTTGAAGATTAAGATTAGTCTTTGAAATTTTTGGTCCCTTCATTGTTGAACTAGTTACAAGTTGTCATTAATATTGTTGCTCTAACATTGTCATACCGAAGCATGTGTCAAATCTGGTACTGGATAAACTTTCTGACATAGTTTATCTTCAACTGAGCAAATTGCATGAAGTAGTGTTTAAATTTATTAATTTATCAGAATTTGTATACAGTTGAGTTATGTCGTGTGCTACTTTTTAAATCTAATGTAAGTCATAGTAAGTCCATCATGTAATATGGAACTGCTATTAAGCTGAAGCAATTTAATTTATCTTAATATCAGGGTGCTATAATAATAATAATAATAATAATAATAATAATAGTAGTAGTATTAGTAATGCAACTATTAAATAACAGTTATAAACACTACTAGACTTATATACTACAGAACACAACATGTACTTGTTTTTCTTTGAAAATAAGTTTCCAGTCTTTTATTATAAGTTGTGGGGAAAATTTTGTCAATTTGTTACTTGCCATGCCTTATGTCAAATTTTTTTTACAGTTGCTAGTTCTACATTTTCAGTTTAAGAATGAGTTAATGTGGGGAGCTGAGTATTCAACAGACTTTGGCTTGGATATGTTAGGTTTGAATGAAACCTAAAGATTTCAGTATTTCCTAGTATATGCTGTGGACTCCCTTAGTTTCAAATGCTGCTGTTCCGGAACAAGAATTATAATTTTGAAGACCAAGAATTATAATTTTGAAAATATCAAGAAGTGAAAACAAAAATTTGAACCACCATTACTGGACCAGTAATGACTTCTTGAATTTTTTAAAAAACCACACCCACCTCAACCCTGAAACAATAAATGCGTGAGTGGTGTCTGTTGCTGTATTGGGTAGCTGTTCTGGAACTTCATAATGACAAGAGAAATGTCACTCTTTCTTACAAGTTCTATTCCAAATGTTTGAGCAGAAGAATCCAACTAGCATGCTTATCTCTCAACGGCAAGCTGCTTTCCTTGCTTTTTCAGGTGCCAAAAAGTCCAGCTGCCCAATATCCTACTTAGAAAATCTTCAATTTCCCCTGGCAGTTTTTATGAAACAGCAAACATTATCAATTATAAAAGACTTATGGAAGATCTGAGGTTGAATATGCCAGGAAGAGTCTAAAACCAACCAAATAAAACCTTAAAGTTTATCTGCTCGTTTGATTATTCATGTTCAAACTCATTTAAAGAGAATCCTCTTTACCTTAACAGATCCTGGACTACTGTGAAGTTTTTTCCAGAGTAGGTAGAATTGAGAAGTCTCAGTTGCCTTGGGGGTGCTTTTCTTTGTGGCCACAGGTTTGGCTCTTTAGGGAAGGCAATAGCAGAGCCCAATGGGGGGATGTTTCCAAGCTTCAGGAATCCTTGGAATCAGAACACCTACCAAATTTCGCAGCTCTAGTAATAACATAGACAACAATTACAAAGAGAAGAGTACAAACTATGTGTGGAGGGATTGTTTGTTCCTTGGCTAGTTGGTTTCTATTATTTCTATGTTGCATGCATAGGGGATTTCTCTCCAGATACTCTGCTCATCAGGTTTTTGAGCACACAGATCTTCAATTCTGAGTCTCCTATGGGCTTTTTGAGCTGAATAGAAATTGGGTTTTATTACTAACCCAGCAGAACTGTTTCCATCATCAAAAGTATAACTTTTGATTGCACAAAATCTCTTCATATTATACCATTCATGTACTTAAAACATAGTATTTTATTTTATTTTCTGTTAGATTGTCTCACTTTGATTCTCAAATAACATTTGAAATGCATGAACTTTGAACATATGATGGCACTGTTGTGTAATCACTAAACTGTTTAGTGACTACATGCCCCTTGTCATGTGAGGTTTTGTTTTTCAGAAAAAAAGGTCAACACAAAACCCCTAACAAGGCTCCAGAATGTAATCTTTATGGTTTTGTAAAAAAACCTTTTCTCAAAATGTCATCTATTTTCACCCCATCTGTGACTTTCTTTTATCCACCAATATCTTGATCTCTTTAATTTATTCATCTTGTCAATGATTTCAGGCATTTTTTCTTCTTTGTGTTTTCAAAAGTAT